TAGGCCCCCCCCCCACCTTTGAGGGCCCTACCCTGCCTGGGGAGTGGTGGGTGGATGAGGTGGGGGTAGGTTGGGGTGGGAGAGGAGGGATGGAGTGAGGGGAGGGAGAGGGAGAAGGGACTTACATGTGAAACAAGCTTTTTTCCTAACTTGAACTAATAAATAAATAAATAAATAAATAAATAAATAAACAGAAGCATTGGGCTGGAGAGATGTCTCAGCAGTTAGGAGTGCATAGTGTTCTTGCAGAAGACCTGAGTTTCATTTCCAGAACCCACACTGGGAGGTTTAAAAACCTCCTGTAACTCCAGCCCTAGGGAATCTTACATCCTTTTCTGGACTCTACAGGCGCCAGCATTCATGTTCATATATCACCCACCCCACCCCTGGTACACTGTGCAAACAACCTAGAATAAAAATAAAATGAAAAGATATACAAGATAGCAAGAATAATAATGGAAAATTGTAATTTTTAAAAGAGATAGAGCAGAGTATAATCTTCATAGGTCTCCTGACAGCCCATTTCTGACCTTTGGCCTAGAGAAAACATGAGTAAATGGAGTCAAAGAAAAGCTGAACATCAAGAGAATTCTTCCCTTTGATGCTATTGGGGGAACCACCCTGCAGAATGTTCCATACCACTCCAAAGAACAGTTCTATCAAAAAGGAGTGCGGTACCATGGTGCACCAGGTCTTCCTGTAGAAGCCTTGAAGTCCAGCCTTCTGGATTGCTTAGAAGGAAGCTTAGGAGCATGGCAGGGGCCCATGGGAATGGAGTAGAAATTCCCCCACAGAAGACTGTCAGGGAGGATCCTAGACTATCAGAGACAAGAATGGATGGACTAATGGAGACCTGAAGGAGGCAGAGAAGTGTGGCTGGGTTAAATCTCATAGAAGACAGTTTGAAGGCTTCAGCCGTGCAGTTGGGATGGATGGAGTATGTGACCCTGGGTTCATCTTATTGTCTCAGGGAAGTCATGTGAATGGCCAAATTCAAACTGGACAGAACTGGAATCTACCGAAATAGCTCAAATGTCTCCTACATGTTGAGATTCTCTTCTCCCTCCAATGATCTCACATCTTTCAGGCTTGCTTCCTCTAGTCACTAGAGCCTTTAAAAGAGTCTTTGATACCCAGGAATCCTTTCTTACTATGTTTCTCTTAAGGTTAGAAACCAAACAAAGTGCAGCAATATGCTGATGTTAGCAAAGATGGTTTTATGACTTTCTGGGTCCTTCTATAGCTCCCTGAAGCATCACTGAGGAACAAACACTGTTTCTGAGACCTCACTTTTAATTTTAAATTTAGGGTTTCTTATTTAGGATAAAATGGAGCTTCTTGTTAATTGAGGGTAAGATTTAAAGCCAATGCCTAAAACAAACTTCTGGCATAGCTAAAATAATCTTGGATTCCCTTAAATCCCACTTAAATTTTAAGGTTGGTGAGTTGTTGCATGTTCTATTTATACTTTGGATTGACAAACTCCATGCTTCACCAAAGGAAGAGATAAATGGAAAGTCTACATGTAAATGTCAGAGAGCACTCTACTTTCTTCCTTAGAAAAAAGAATAAGAAAAAGAAAAAGCCTTGGTGTCCTTCTAAGAATAGAGGAGGGATAGAGAATTCAAGATAACTTTGCTTGGCTATAAATCTACCTCCATCCTGTTTTAATGATAAACCACGCCATGCTCATTGTTGTTTTGAAAACTGAACACAATGAAAGTAACTAAGAATGAGGGTGGCTGTGCAGAAAGTTCTCAGACATGGCTAGCTACTATTGGAAATCTCCATCACTCAAACACATGTTTAAAAAGTCTCCGAGAAGGGCTCACCCACCTGTTGCCTGCCTTTCATCCCATGGTGATTTCTTCCGTGCCCCTACCCCAGCAGCTGCCTCTCTCAGACCTCAGCCATGGCCTCATTTCCATTGGGGTTAGAAGCTAAAACTGCAAGGCTGTTAGATGCATGTGCGATGTCATTGTCCCCTATTCATAAAGGTATGACTTCCTAAGAGAATGAAGGTAATTTGGAGGACCCAACATGCCCCAGAAATAAGAGTCATATACCAAAAGCAAAAGCAACTCATTAACTTGGAATCAAAGTGAGCCAAATTTTCTTCCATATGCTTTTCTCAAACAGATCAAATATTGAGAATATACTTCATGATTTTCTCTCCATAATAAATAATAAAATGGTGGCAATATAAGGAAGATGACAGGTTTTTTTCCCTTTTGTTAGCTTATCACAAACGTGCAGAACACCTGTGAGTAAGGCGAGGAGGATAGCATAAAGAGGTTCATTACTTAATATTCGAGTTTGCTTTTTCTTGTCATAGTAAAATACCAAGAACAAAATCGAACCCTGGAGGAAAGGGTTTATGACATCTTAGAGATTAAAATCTATCACTGAGGGAAGTCGGAGCAGGATGCTCAAGGAACAGATGGAAGCAGAGACTACGGAAGAGCATAGCTACTGGCTTTCCTTGTTATACAACCCGGGATTGCTTGCATAGGGATGGCATTGCCCACAGTGGCCTTGCTCCTCCACAACAACTATTAATCAAGAAAATGTCTTTAATGTCATTAATCAAGACATGCCTTCAGGCCACATTGATGAACACAATTCTTCCTTAAGGCTCCCTCTTTCCAGATGACTCTAGTTTGTATCAAGTTGACAAAAACCAACTAGCACACTTAGTTTTAAGCATAATTGAGATAGTTCTGTAGACACAGAAAGAAGAACTAAACCTTTGGGCTTTAAAAAATTCTTCTCTCAAAATATTCTCCCTGTGACTGACTGAATTATATGCAAAAGTCCCTTCTCTCATTCCTGTGTAGAATTTGATGAGGAATCCATGTGCCACTTCCAGAAATGATCTAAGCATCATCCATCGCTCTCATTTCACTACTCATAGGGAACTTGATATACTGGATCTCGGTGCTGCAATTGCAGTGCAGAAGGTGTGCCTGGCAGTAAGAACACCGTGAGTCTCATACAGACTATTGGAATTAACATCTCCTCCCCCCTTGGCCTTTCTTTTCACAGCCCCCTGCTTCTTCAAGCCTTATATGTCCAGGGTGATTCAAGGTTTTATGACTGGCCTGGGAGGAAAAGATAAAGTGCAAGGACAGTATTTTCTCCTCTGGTTCCTAGCTCATCTGAACCATCTCACATGGTACTTCTCAGTCCCCCACATACACAGAAGACAGGTCAGCTCCTTGGAGTCCTAATTTGGAAAACATTTAGAAACCACTTGGCTTTTGTGCTTAAAAGGGCCAATAAAAAACAAAAAACCTTCCCTGTTGCCTTTGTTAAGTGCAGATCCAAGGTCAACTGCACTAAATCAAACATAGATGGTATTGGAGAATGGTATGTTTTATGATCTTTTATATATTAAAAAGACTCATGATATAAGAACCATGAGTCATATGGCATAATTCTACCGCCATGCTGGTTCGCAAAGATGCTGGATAAATAGCAGTGTTAGATTTTTGACTAATAAATTTGGAAAGAGTCAATATTACATAAAAATAAAATGACACACCCTGAAAAATAACCAAGGACATAA